AATTGAATTATGACTGGAGGTATAGGGGCTGAAGTAGGATATTCATTTTCCTTCTCTATAGTGTGGGCAATACAATTTTCCCAACTTGTCTTATTTTATTGAGCACCTCGACACTTAATTTTGTTGCTTGGTTGGTTTTCCTGAGCCGTATCTTTATGATTCCCCAAATTATTTCGATTGGATTGAATATAGGTGTACAATAATAGGGGGGGGGGGGGCAGGTTAATCTTACAAGAGTATGCCCATGTCTCTCACATATTTCATCAATTACATACTCTTTTTTATGATTTTATCGTTTCCAATAGCAATTTTCAATGGAATTTTTTCAGGAATAGTTATACCTTTCCTTCTCATGAAAGCTAAAATATCTTCCTTTTTAGTACTTTCTGAAGGTATTTTATAAAGGACTCTTGAATGGTATGACGCATTGACCATGACCACTACATCATTTGGTATAAGCTGTTCGATAAACCATTTTTCAAACAAGTCTGCGGACATGTCCTGATGATAATCAGCAGAAGATTGTGATATATATTTTGCTGATAATAATAGGACATTGGGTTCAAAGCCATGTTTGCTTCCAGCATGGAGAATAATAATACGTTTCCTCCTTGAACAAGGAGCATTCAAGGTGCAATTCTGGGAACCGTCTACCCAACCATATCGAACAACATCATGAGTGTCGAACCAAGTTTCATCCAGATACATTGTCTGTTCTGCTCACGATATTTTCTAATTGTCGTAGTTGCACTTGATTCTATGATTACCATTAGATTGTCAATTTTTTTATGCTTGAATCCACAACTCAATAAGATAGCCATTAATGTTTCCAAGGAATGGTGTTTGTAATCAGGATAATCTTCTAATTTTTTTTATGATTTCAAGGGTTGGCATTTTCCTTATAGAAAGTATAAATAATATTACAAATAAATATTTTATCGCCCTCATCAATATTCTTGAATTTTTCTTTCCTTTGTTTTCGTTTCATGTTGTGATCTGTGACATCCTCTTTTTTATAATTCGACGAATTGATGATTCCGATATTTTAGTAAGCTGATGTATCCGGTTAACTATTTTATATTTCGAATTTCCCACATTTTCTTTCTACAAACATTCATATATATTTAAAATGACTCTTTGGCACTGTACATGTAAGTCTTTATTTTTAAATTCCGAATCCTCACCGACAGAAGTCGGTTCTATAATATTTTCAGCACCGTCCGTCTCGAATGGTCTTCAAAAAGCCACGTTTCCGCCAACGCTCCACGTGACGCAGCGCACGGCTCTACTAACACTAAACTGACTGTGGGTGGTTTCGGTTAACAGACATAGACTTGTCTGTTCAGGCTTGTGGACGACGAATACAGTACCTCTCTAAAATAGTCATTTTTCGTTTGATGTTGGAAGTGGTCTCGGACATCACTGCTGCTGAGCTATTGTACAATTGTAAATTTCATTTTTTTGAGCAATTCTTGTAGTTTCGTTGCTTGTAATTAGAATTGGATGGTTGTAAATTGTTACCCATGAAAACAAATGTAAAACATCGGATTTTGAACAAATTCCAGCATGAATAGCGGAGATATAATACAAAATAAATGAGGGCAAAATAATCCACAAATGTTTAGCAAAGCTATCTGAATCATAAATTAACGCAACGCACTATCCCAGTACTTTACTACTGCCGGTTCGGACACGTCGATTGGCCCGGACGACTGACACACCAGTCAGAATAGCTGCTCTTCAAAATAATCTTTTTATTTCTTCAATATTCTCAGCCGTTCCGATCAGCGCTGCATTTAAGATACTGTAGCAAATATACCAGTGATATACTGGATGAAATTTTGTGGGCTCTATGCCTGGTACAATTTACATGTGATTTTAGAATTCTTTACGCGATCCTGGTAGATTTGTTATTTTCAATTAGAATTGGATGGACTATAGACAGAATCATTCTAATTTCTAGATGTTTATATACTCTAACACAAGGCAAAATCGTGGCCAGGATACTAAAATACTACATATGTAGAGATGCTTAGGTTTGCACTTTTCAGTTCCCTTGTTCTAGCCTAGGTTATAAATAGGAGGTACTTCTCGTCTTCTTTTAAATAAAGTTGCTTTATTGAAAAGTCGTTCGTTGTTTGCATATTCATAATTCTTATAATACATACAGAAACTAAATATACCCCATTTGAACTTGTTTTTGGTAGAAAATGAACATTCCGATCAATATGAACAGGATCGACTTACCGAATCGATAACCGCCGGTATTGATTCACGAGTATCACTCAATCGAGACCGAAAAAAGTGCCAAAAATCGTGTGGCATTGGAATCAACAAGTGAAAGTTAGATCAATCGAGACAGGACACATCATCACTATCGACCAGCCACATCATCTACGGCACAGGACGAGGAAGCAGTTCCTAGAACTGATCCGGATCGCAGAGAAATAGAACTTGCCGTCAACGAGTACGAGGGCTATGGCACGAAACCTAAGCATACCAAGGACAACCATACAAAATATTCTTTATGAAGAAGGTTACCACGCCGACCATGTTCAAAGGGTATAAGCATTGATGCCCACAGATTACCAGTTGCGAGTGGATTTCCGTGAGACTATGCTTGCGACGGCAACGAGAAGTTGCCGATTTTTTTGATAAAATTTTATGGACTGACGAGCCACGCTTTGAACGAACGGGGATATTTAATATCCATAATTTGCAAACGTAGGATGTGGAGAATCCAGACGAGTCAAGACCATCGACATTTCAACACCGCTTTATCGTGAACACGTGGTCAGGGATATTTAATGGGGAATTTTTCGGTCCATATGAACTGCCGTCAAGATTGGATTCGGTAGCCTACAAAAGCTTTCTGGAAAATAACCTACCACTGTTGCTGGAAGATTCAAGCCTGGCAGCCAGAATGATGGTGCACCATGTCACAACGCAACGATAGTGCGACACTACTTTGACGTGAAGTTCCCCAACAGATGGATCGTACGGAACGGACCGATAAGGTGGCCCCCACGCTCCCCTGACCTCAACCCCATCGGGGTTATTTTAAAGATATGACTTTTGCCCAAGAATGTGCAAATGAAAACGCATTGAAGAAGCGACGCATGTTATAAACAAACAACACTCAAGCATTTAGAGCGTTAAAGCAAAATTTCAAACGTAGGTGTAGATTGTGCATTTCTGTTGGAGGCAGACATGTTGAAAACCTTTTGTAAAAAAATATAAATAATAGTCAGCCGTTCAACCAAGGCCAAAAGTTTTTTTTCCTGCTTTTACGATTGCCTTGTCCGTAACTAACAATTTCTATTGAATAGAGGGTAATCCAATTTTTGGTTCGGTTCTATTTGAGACACAACTAAGGAAGCGCTTAGTAAAGCTAGGTCGATGAAATTTTTGTGGTGAATAGCTGATAAAGTTTTTGAAATACCTATGTATAGGAAGGAAATTTTGTTCTATTTTTAAAAAACATAGGTTGTTGCACTTTTTTGTTAGGTGCGACGTTTTTAATAAAATTTACAAGGTAGTATTAGTTACCTGACTAGATTGATCTCATGATAGTTAAGCCTTGAGCTTCACCTAAACAATATCGAAAAAAACAGGCATTTATCACAATTGTTTGCGAAGTTACCAAAATAAGCACGAAACTCGATTTTTTTTAAAAATCCGAAAAAAAATCATAACTCCTAAACTAAAAAGAATCCTAGCATATACAAGGGGATAATTCGGATACCTCTCAACCTGAGGAAGTTAATGTTTTATGACATCATCCGTTTGGCCACCCTGTATATACAAGATTGGATCTGGCTAATGGGACCTTTGTCCTAGTGCGAAAAAATGTTCTCAATTTAATCTTATGATGTTAATCAATGCTGGTGAATCATCATCCCTGATCAATCCAGAAATTGCTTTTAAATATTTTCCAGATCGTATTTATGATCATCCTTTTGAAATCAATGTATTGTACATCAATATGCTTGTAACATTCCCATATTTTCTGAGTGGAACGATAAAACTGAAATTGAATTTGTAATTCTTCCTTGGCATTCACGTTATGGTTGCTTGTTTAGGATTCCAGCATTTAAAAAACCTTAATTGCTCTATTGATTTGACTAAACATCAGAGTATTACTGATAAATATAAAATTACTTACAACACTTCTTTTAAGTCAATTCGAGAAACAATCAGTCCATTATGGCAAAATCATTAATTATATAAAATTTAGATAATGGTTCTGTTCTTGTTCCACCTATAGAAAAAATGCTGACAAATATTTTCCTGCATGTATCTGCAACGTGGAAAATAATATTATTCAATATGCGATCGACATAAGTCTTCTTGATATTTCCAGTCCATTGTCATCTGAACCTTTCTATCATTTTCTAGTTGAAAATGCAATATACATGTTGAAAATTTAATTTGTATGTCTTATATGAACAGTGAAGGAAAGGAAAAAATTATTAAGCTAGGCAAGCAATTCAATTCAGTTCGACTAACGAATCATTAACTCCTTGTAACTCCTATCTACTAAAAGCATACCATAAGACATTTTTCATATAGATCTCCCACTTATTAATGAAAATATCAAGCAAATAACGTTTTAACAATAAATGAATTGAGGTGTAGGTATTACAGTGGTCAAGAACGCAAAATGTACTTATTCTCAAAAATTTCGAATGCAATGTATAATTTTGCATTTTTTTAATTCACCTTTTTTATAACAAACTTTTCTGTATAAAGGTGGATCAACATTAAGTCCCTATAATATAATTAATATTATATTATACTATTGAGTTATGAGGCTATTAATAAAACAAATCATGAAAATTAACGAAAAAATCACATCATCAATGAAAATAAAATAGAATTAGTGGACTAGTTACATATTGCTACCAAGGTTACAGATTTAACAATATTTGTGTTCACCATTTGAGATTACTCGTCTTAAACATAAAATCTGATAAAGAACAAAGATAACACAATCATAAGCAATCAACAAATACTATTACTACCCCAGAACTAGGCTATAGAGACTGCTCAGAAACATCTTCAACATGTTGGATGCATAGCTGAAGTTTGGGGATAAGTAACACAAATCCTCCAGCATATGTTCGCTTGTGTTCTCAAGTGCTTTCTTTATCCTCTCCTTTATAAATTCCAGAGTAGATGGTGTATCCTTTTCTTGTTTCACATAGTCCCATAAAATGTAATCTATAGAGGTCAGATCTGGTGACCTAGAAGGTCAAGATATAGGCCCACCAAGACTGATGAATGATCCTTCATGCCAGCCGTTCAAATAGTTAACTAATAAAGTTTGCAGGTTGATATCCTCCAAAAGCAATAGTGCATGTTATACTTATTTACAACACCTATGCTGCAGGAAGTGACCTCATTACTAAAAAGATCTTTATCCAGAAAAGTAGTGCCTTCACTCATTTTATTCAGCATTGTGTCGCTAAAGTCCATTCAAGTTGCAAAATCCTGAGCACAAAGCCCTTGATGTGAGCATAGGTGATAAGGATAATGGTATCTATGTTTGTGAATCATTCTTTGAGCCGAACTTTGGCTTATGTTAGTTTTTGCTTCAATTTGATGTGCACTTAAATGGGAATTCTCTTGCATGTTCAATAGAATCTCCAACTGAAATGATGGGCTAGCGAGATGCCAAAGTTAAGGGTTTTTCTAGACATAGAAAATTCACAACTTTGATATGTGGGTCAAAATCGGACACCCTGTATGATTGAGAGTATTCTAGAAATGTGCCCCCAAAGATATTATCTATAATAGCCCATAAGCAATTGTATCCAAAAAGCTTTCTTATAGGTTATGTGAAAGATTTATAGTTTAGTATTTAAATGGAATAAAAATAAATACATTTTCCATCTATATCACAAGGTGCTGGCTGTTGATGCTTCAACAAATAAGTAAATCAATCTAAATAGAGCGGACGCTAAAGTTACATTATCGCCCAAGTGCATAATAAAGAAGTCTGGTTGTAGATAAAAATATTTTACACCTACCCTTACAATTGATTAAAAAAAATTCATTTGGTATTGTTGTTGAAAAGTGCTCACACTGACCACATTAAAATGTTCAATGTGCTTGAAAATATATATATATATATATATATGCTAATTCAGCTGATAATTCAAATATATTGCATATTGTAGGTATTCAATTTACATGACAGCAGGTACTAATAAAACAATCACCCAGTTTTGTAATGATTCCTAAAAATAGCCAACAAACATTTCTGGTTTCATGCCAAAGCTTCCTATACCAAACGGAAGCCTAACATATAATCACACAAGTAGTTATCAATTTTGTTTGTGAACAAAAAATGTAGACAGCTTCGTCTTTGTTCTAAAAGCACTTACCAACAGCAAGAAACACCAAAAACATCACTGACAACCCTGGTGCAAGTCACTGATATTTCGAACATTTACAGTTGTTATCATGTCATTACTTATGGAAAACATATACTAATCCTTGGCACATAAATGTATTTTTTCAAATTTCAATTACATAGACGGAGAATAGAGAATACAGAATACACAAATAATTGTGTTGTGAGTATAATGACACATAACGACATAACATGATTATCTTTCTCTGTCCCTCGAATGCATTTCGACGTTGCCAAGCATAGCACTGGAAGTTTTCAACAATTTTATAGTGCGGTAACATTAATTTTGATCTTTCATAATTAGCCCCCTAAGATACGTTAGTGCTGAAACAAATGGTATCAACTGGATTGAGTCCGTACTTCCCTCGCATGCATTTGCGCCTAATTTCAAATTTCAATATTACATTATTTTTATTTGTCAAAGATGAGTCTTTCCAAATCAAACCAGAGATTCTGTATCTCTATAACATTTTTTGACTACGACACAAAGGTGATACGAAACTAAGAAAAACAAAATCGGCTCTATTTACTTCTGTGAGTATCACCAGTATTTACGTATCAGTGTGAGTGGATTTATACGCAATCTTATATATCAGAAATTACTGGCGTCTTTTGGATCATGGATGCCTGCTGAATTTGCTCTAGCCATCTCATTGGCAACCTTCCACGACTTTTTCGTTGAACATCTTCGAATAAGATTAACCTCTTCAAATTATCGTTTTGTTTTCTATATGCAACGCATGTGCTAAATAATATTGGTTCAATTCATAGTTCATCAATAATTGATGCCTCCGTCTTGTGAGTCGTCTGTGGAATACAGCATTTTTCTTCAGGACCTCATTACGAAAGCATCCATTTTGTTTCTTTATAACAAAGAACATTTTTATTTAAGTTTCTTAAAGCTCAGCGTAACCGTATATGAGATTACCTTTCTAGAAAAACTTCAACATACAAGCAGAGATCCATGGAAATGACATGACACAATGTATATGCTTTGAATATAAAGCTTATGAGATTTTATCAGATTACATTTCAAAATTATACGAGTGAAGAACGGTGGCAATATTCGTATGACAGAAACTATTATGGATTCAAAAATTGAAGTTAATTTAAACATGGGCCCTCACTGGGTCAAAACTGAGAAACAAATTACATCAGAATAAGTAATAAAGATATCAATTAATAATTGTATATACCTACATAATTAATTCAAAAATAGTTATTGACTAAACTATACGCCCTCGACTTAGAAAATGGAAGATATTGACTCCCACAGAGAGAGAAAGCAACTTTTTTAAACAATCATTGCATATTTGAGCCAGAAATTCAATTCTACATGAATTGTCTCTCTTAAGAAACTTAAGAAAACCAGTTTTGAAGGAAAATGATTTCCTTATTTAACGCATAACCCATATAAGCAAACTTGTTTCCGTTCTATTTTAAGAATACAATGATGTTAGTGAAGCTTAACCTTGAAAATTGTACATAATATCAGCAGAATATACAGGGTCCGTCGAAATGACCTCCCACATTTTGCACCGCCACTGTCATTTCAGTTGACATCATGAATTGGACGGCCGAGCAGCACGCCTTCGATATCGAAACATTCATAAAAAGTAACGATTCTGTGATTCCCACTCATAGAACTCACTTCGCGCTTGGTAGACATGCTCCAGTTCCGGATAATGTTGAGGGTTTCAAATGTTCAAGCTACAGGTTCAGCCGTAAAAAGAAAATCAATAGGTAGACCCAGAAGTGCTCGGACAACTAAAAATGTTGAAGCTGTAAGAGAAGCAGTTGAACGATCTCCTAGCCGTTCATCTGTTAAACATGCTTCTGCTTTGCGTTTTTCAGATCGTTCTGTGATAAAAAATTTACTACCCACCGCTCTGAAGTTCCACCCATACAAAATGATGATCGTGCAAGAACTTAGGAAACGGGACTTATTTCCATTTGTCTGGGTATGTGAACAAGAAAATCCGCAGCAGCTCCATGAAGGGCCGCTTCACAGCCCACATGTTACTGTTTAGTGTGCTGTGGGACCTTTTGGCCTTTGGGGTTCCTATTTTTATGAAGAGGGATGAGTGGCGGTCACCGTAACTGCCGATCGATATGTAGACATGCTGCTCAATTTTTTTAAAGAACTTGGACAGCCGGATGTGTGGTTTCAACAGGCTGGATGCATAGCCTCGTTACGTGGAGAGGTTGGGTGGTCTATGCGTTCTTCCGATTTTGCCTCATGCGACTTTTCTCTTTGGAGCTACCTAAAAACGAAGGTTTTTCAACACCATCGCCGAACCATTGACTTAATGAAAGCAGCGATATGCCAAGAAATTACAGGAATATCGCCTTAAATTACTGCTCGAATGATGGAAACTTTCAGAAATCAGCTTCGAATGTGTATGGAATGCAATGGTCACCCGCCTCTCCTATGCTATACTTTTAATAAAAAGAAATGACAGCATGTATTTTCACTTAATAAAAATAAAATCTAAATAGCCTTTAGAATAGAGTTTTTATTAAAGCCTAAAATGTGACAGATCATTTTGCCGGACCCTGTATAATCGGGTCTACCACTATTATTTGAGTTTGTTTCATCAGTAGTGTAAGAATATCTACCCAACTTCATATCTTATTAATGAGGTATTTGAAGACGTGGCCTTGGGGTCTTTTCAAATTATTTTTTTGTACCGAAGCAGCCGCGCAGACAGAAGCCTAAATGCCGGGACACCGCGGCTGCTACTGTGTTTTGGAAGCATTAAACTGTACAAGATTGTTGCGTCCTCAAGCAGTGATGACTTCGCGTCAGAGATGAAGTCGTCGCTAGTCTTCTTTTTTCCAGCTCAGCGGCAGAGATCGGCTTGTCACTCTGAATTCTTGCATGTAGAGAGTGCTATCATCAGCGAAGCTGTGGATTGGGTTGATCGTGCACGAAAGGAGGTCGTTGATATGTAAAAGGAACAGTATCGGAGCCAAGACCGATCCATCGGGAACACCTGCGTTGACGTTGTGGGACGAAGAGCAGAACCCGTTAATTTCGAAGGGTATCTTGCGGCCAGAGATAAAGTCAGCCACCCATCACCAAAGCTTTTCTGGGAGGCCATAGAATGGAAGTTTGCTTAAGAAGGCAGCGTGTCACAGCTGATCGAACGCTTTCGTGATGTCACGAGCAACGACATGAGCCTCACCATAAGACTGGATGAGTTTACTCCACAACTGCGTGACGTAAGCTAGGAGGTCCCCTGTTGATCGCTGGTGCAGGAAACCATACTGCCTGTCGCTAATCAAGCTGCTGTGACGTTCGAGGTAGTGCAGAAGCTCGCGATTTATGCACCTCTCCATCACCTTATAACAGAAAGTAGAACTATAGGCCTGCAGTTGTAAGGGTCGGTCTTAGATCGTTTTTTTTTTGGGATGGGTTGGACATGAGCAAATTTCCAGTTTTCTGGGAAGGTGCCGGATTCATAAGATATCTGGAAGAGACGCGAAAGAACTGGAGCAAGCTCCGCTGCTCACCTCTTCAGTACAATGGCAGGAATCAAGTCCGAACCAGAAGCTTTGTTGATGTCGAGCGACAAAGAGCACTCGTCTTACGGTCTTATGCCTGAATGTTACCTCCCGCATAGTGTAGGGAAACCTTTGAATTGACTGCACTTGGGCTTTGGGGGGGACGTCCGTGGTGGAGTTGGTAGCAAAGATCTTGGCAAGCACTTCTGCCTTGGCCTTTAAGTCGGATACAATCGTTCCATCCTGAAACGTAAGTCTTAGAAGGCTACTGTGTGAGAAGTTCTTTTCAATCTCCTTGGCCTGCGACCAGAAAGACCCACTGACATTGCGCTGCGACATTACCGTGTGGTTTTTAGCATTGCGAACAGCTTCGTTGTATTTGTTCCTGGAATCGACGTCGTTCTCTACAGTGGGGTTTTGTCAGAAGGTCCTGTGTGCCTTGATCTTTTACTGGCGAGCAGTGTCGATTTGTTAAACCAGCCGTTGGACCCTGGTTTAGGCACTTCCACTGTGTGAGGGATGTATTCCTCCATTCCGACGTGGATACTTTCGGTAATCGAAGAACCTCCACAACACCGTGGTCTGAGTTACGCAGGGGGAAAAGAACAGCAGTGCTGTAAGGGACAGGATGCGTGGTCAGAAAGAGATCCAGCAGGCTACTGCCATGTGACAAGACGCGGGGGCAAAAAGTAGACCTCGTCACCACTGGGTCGGCACTTGAGTAAGAGCGAACGCTTCGACTGCATGACTTGCTCCATCGGTCTTGTTTGAGCCCAACCAAAGCTCATTATAGGCATTGAAATCACCGAGAAGAACTACCCCTGAAGCGGGGTGATTGATGTTCAGGAAGTCGATCTTGACGGCGAGGTATTCAAGTAGGTCATCCCAGTTATGTTCCGAGGGAGTTAGATAAAGGCGGCAAATAAATTTTTGTGACGTTTTGGCGTTGAGGCGAAGCCGCAGAATGCCCTTCCGGTCTGATTCCACAGAAACATGTATGGAGCAGGAAATACTGCTGCGGACAAAAGCCACAACTCCCAGATTATTGGAGTGCACCTCGTAATTTGGGAAGCTACGATTAATAGGTGCAGACACTGCAGACTCTGAGATTTTTGTCTCCGCCAAGAAAAGCATGGCGGGACGACTTGGTTGCAGGTAGTGATGAACAGCATCAATGTTGCTGTTAATCCCGCAGATGTTCGTAAAACAAATTTTATCTTCGATATTGTTCCCTCAAGCCCACCCTCCACCCGGGCATTCCGAGAGTGGAGTGAGTTTACGTTTTGGAAGAAAACCAACTGCATATTTTAGGTGTGGAAACATGGGGACATACGTATATATTATGTCTACATTCAGCAAGTGATGACGTGTCTACGTAGTTCCAGATATTTTCATACTTTCAGTCCGCTTATAAACGTTATTGTTCCAGCTGGTTTTTACACAGTGTGTTGTGTAACTTGCACACAGCAGAGTAGTGAGTTTTAAAATTGCATTAACTGTTGTACAAGTGCAATTTGATTGTATTATTTGGTCGACCGAATCTGAATATACAAAAACATGGTATTCACTGAGTGACAAAAAACCGAGTTGGAAAACATTACCCAGGATTTGGCCAATGACATTGTAGAAGAAATCATACACGATAAAGAATTTTTAGATAAGCTGGTTGTTAAACTCGTTACTAATGGCCGATTGCACCAACGACTTTACGGATAACTTATTCGCTTCTTAACTTTAAGCAATCCTTAAAGGTACATTTTCGGTTGCACCAATGAAAAGTGAGGATTATTCTCCGATTAAACTGTCCTTAGTTAAGTGGCAGCTAACGATCACTTAAACGGTACTTAGCGCACAGTGTGGTACATAGTTGCCAGGCTTGAAGATTTGTCACCATATTGGTGATTTTCTTTATACTTAGCAACTGTTTTTTGACTATACAACTAGTTATTTTTCTGGCAACTAAACCAAACTGGGACTATTTTTGACTACACTGATGCCAAGTACTGTGATAGAAAAGATATACTTGGTGATTTTGTCGACATTTCTCCTACCAACCGGCGAAATGACTGTCGTTGGACCTGCAACGTGGCAATCGTGCGTGGGAAAACATAACCAAATACTTAGTTTTGTCAAATACCAAAACAATTCTATTCTATATTTTCCTCTGTGTGGTGTAGAAGTGCTTTCTGAGGAAGGCCTTTGGTGTTATTGACTTGTTTTTTTTTTCGTCTTGATCGACTCCATTTTATATTTGATGTGATACCTCAAACAGGACCTTGAGCTGTAAAGTGTAGATATCACCCTAGTAAGGTTGTATTGTGCGAGTTACAATGGAGTACTCATATTTGGATTACTTGGGCGACTTACCAGATATTCTGGATGATGATTTAGAGCTGGTAGACATTATTGTGATGGGACTACACAGGCGCACTTATAGTCGGCCAAATTACTCTGAAGAAATGGATCCACTGGGTTTTTTCAGGTTCCGGTTATACAAGGAAACAGTGTTGCATGTATTATCGCAAATAGATGATCTCAATGACAAATATCTATATGAATGCATTCATTTTAGGAATCACAGCATTTCACCAATGAATCGGCGTCTATGCTGCTTAAGGTACTATGCCAGTGCAGGTCATATTAGGCAAACTGCTTATTTTATGGGAATGCATGCAAGCACAGCCTGCAGAATTGTTGGGAGGGTATTAAGAACTATAGCCAGCTTATTCCCATGTTATGTCAAAATTCAATTATTTAATTGTAACACAGGATATTGAAATGCCTACAATACAGAATCACAATGTCAATACTGCTCAAGAATAAATGATTAATTATTTTGGAAATCTTTGAATGTTTCTTTTTCTCGAGTTATAATGCGAGGAATAAAATATTTTTGTTATATTTTCCCTTTTATTGTTTTTACATCACAACTATCGCCTTCAAACAAAACTATCACAAACTACAGTCTTCAAACAAAACTAAAGTATAAAAACTTTAATCAAAAAACAAAACTATAATATACAGGGTGGACCATAAGTCCTTTGAGCTGGAAAAAAGGAATAAAACCAAACTAGTTACATTATGAAGAATTATTATATTTTGTTATCATCTTTATTGAATGGGAATTATGTTTTAAAAATCACATCGTCTAAATGCAATCCATTACGATCACGGCACTCATATAAACGACGTCTAAAATTGTCGATGACTGCGCGGCAAGTCAACACTGTAATGCTTGCCATTTCTCTTCGGATATTTTCTTTCAGGACATCAACTGATCGCGGAGTGGTGTCGTACACTTTACTCTTGAGGTAGCCCCATAAAAAGAAGTCCATTGGGGTCAAATCTGGACTACGTGGTGGCCAGGAAATGTCTCCTCTTCGAGAAATTACTTTGCTGGGAAAAAGTTGACAGACGACGGGCATAGAAGTGTTGGAGGTGTGGGCAGTTGCTCCGTCCTGTTGAAACCAGGTCTGCGTATTATAGCCTGGAAAATTCTGCAACGCTGGTGTCAAAAACTCTTCTATCATTGCTACATACCGCTCCGAAGTAACAGTTAGTGCGCGACCTCTGTCGTCCTCAAAAAAAATAAGGGCCTACGATGCCATGCGCTGACATAGCAGCCCAAACTGTAACTTTAGGGCTTCTGATGCTTACGCCTTGGATTTTCGGGGCTCCAATAATGGCAATTTTGTTTATTTACATGCCCGTTTAAATGGAAGTGAGCCTCGTCCGAGAACAACACATTATTGAGCAAAGAAAATCGATTCAACATTTCATTCGCAAAGTTTAGTATCTGAATAGCGTCATTATCTTTTCATTCCTGCACTAACTAAATTTTGTAAGCGTGCAGACGTAAATCTTTCCTTAAAATCCGCTGTAAAGATGTTCTGGGTACGTTTAGTGCACTGGAACGCTTACGAGTAGACTGGGTAGGATTTTGACGAACAGACTGTGCCACAATGTTGATGTTTTCTTCAATACGAGTTGTCCTTGGTCGACCCCACCGCTGTTTATCTAACGTCGAACCAGTCTCTTCGAACTTAGCAACCCAGTTCTTAATCGTTTGAGCTGTTGGACACTTTGTAAAATTGTGTAAATTGTGGTATTCTCGATATTTACGCCGCGCAATGGTTGCCGAATCATTATTTTGATAAAACGCGCGCACACAAAAAGCACGATCCGCTCCAGTGAAACACTCCATGGCGACTGAATTCCCAGAAACTGAAGATACTGCCCCCACCTCGCCCGCGCCGCTCACGCTCACCCGTTAAATTTTATTCAAATTTGAAATTTCAAAGGACTTATGGACCACCCTGTATTTTGAAAATATCACAGTATAGTAGTGATGTATGGTCTGATAGACATTTTTATATTATGACCAATATTAATGTTTATAATTAGTAGTAAATGTAAATTGTTTTATTTTCAAAATAACAATACATTAAGACATTGCAACATTTGTTTAAGTAGAATACGAAGAAACAAATGTTCTTGATTTGTAAAATTGTTGTGGTCTAGCCTAGTCACATCTGTAGTTAAATCTGTAGTTAAATCTCATTTTTCAAAAAAAACAGGTATAGAATACAAAAAACAACAACAAACCATTAATAAAATAGTCTTGGAAATCATGTGTCATTCTGCCTCGGGCCTTAGTGAGTCTAATTGCCTCTTTTTAATTTCTATGTCATATTTTAACGCTTGTACCCTTAATTCATGTTCAATACTTGTTCGAGCTTCTTCTAAGCATGGTCTGCAATAACATTCTTTTTATCAACCAACAAGTTGTATTTTTCAGCGAGCTGGTTTGATGATAGTGACCTTATGACTGTCTCAGTAGGTCTTCTACGATTTGATGGCTTGCAGGTATTAGCACGTTTGCTTGCTTGGCTTTCAACCTTATCACTTTGTGCTGGCTAAAAAGGTTGAAACATATAGTGGAACTATTCAAAACTGTGAATGTATGTTATTGTACAAGATATATGTAGTAAACAAAGAATACTTTATCATACAGTTACTCACTTTACTGATAGATCACCTCAATTGTGCTGAAACAGGTTTTTTCAAATCTGACCCTTTCTTCCATCCCCTTGATATATCTGCTAGTTGCTCCATACTCCTGGAATTGTTTTCTTGATTCCCATCTTCCATCAATTGTGATGATTCAGTGATGACCTTAATATATAAGAATTTGTAATTTATTATGGAAAACAGTTGTAAGCAAAAATGAATATCTCTACAGTGATCTGTTGGTTCCTGCTTATTGAATGTAACTCTACAATGATTCAGTCACAATTATGAATATCACACAATATTTCCATCAACTTCAACATTCAAAATTAGATAAAGTAGAATGTCTTTCCTCATATTTTAAAAATAAAGACTATACAGAATGAAAAACATTAAGAAAGAACTAACTGCACATTTCAAGACTTTGGATCCCTTTCAAAAGACCTGTTACTATGCCCTAACCAAATCAAAAAACTAAGCAGTCATTTGATCAGAATTTGGGATCATTGATCATATTATAATATTTTTTAAGCTATATCTGAACATGATCAGAAATTTGCTAACTGTAAAATGTGACTCAACATGATAAATATATAAATATGATCGATTAATAACTTAATGGTTGCATTTACGTGATCATCAAACATATTCATTTCATTTTCCTTTTGATGTTCATTGGGACCTACATGTTCAATGGCCTTTACTTCATATTCCAAAGGGTCTTGATTTTTCTCATAAAGCAGAAAGCTGCTGCCTGACCCATGTGAAGTTGTTCCACCAACAACAGTGAGTGGATCCACTATGGAAAAGAGTAAATCTTGGGATGTATTACCAGTTCTCTGTGAAGGCCCACCACCAGTTTAAGTATTTCTGCCTTTGGTTTCCGCAGCTCCCTTTTTTTATTGTCAAATAGCTCTTTCAAGGAGTCCATTGTTCGATGCCTCCCTTCAAGGCAAGCTGCATTAAATTTCGCAGTAATTTTACTCCACGCCTGGTTTTTTTCTTGTACAGAAACACCATCAGTTTTTTTATTTTCCATGATCCCTTTAAATTCCGTAATTATAGATAGAAGTAGGTAGTTTCACTTGTTGTAAAATTGGCACCCCTTTTCCTTTTTTCGGCAGCACTCATGATCCACAATATAAAACTTTGCAAAAATAAAAAATTCTTCCAAAAATTGCAGCACCGCCTTACGTTACAACATAACCTCAATGTGGATATGTGAAATCATAAATCAAATCCAAGCGGATAACCAAAATTTCCGTATTATGTACCGCGGTTATAATATGGTTCAAGATGACACACGGGATGGTGACGTCAGTTACTCGAATCGCTTGAATCGTTTTAACCGCGGTTTTGTTGCAAGTTGTTTATTTTAGAAAAGCGCGTATATAATCTCTGATTATTTTTATTATCACTTAATAATCGGTGCTTTTTCGTCTACAACTGTATATGGAAAGTTTAAATAAGAAACCTTTCATAATATTCATGGGAGACATGTTTTTTTTCAGATTTTTTTTTTAATGATGGAACCATGGCTTTGTAACTATGATAACTTTCAATTCTCTAAATTTTTCCGCATGTCAAAGAAAACATTTATTGATTCAGCAGAAATGATGATAAAAGAAATTAGCAAAACCGTATACAGGTGGATATCATCTAGTGAGTTTATATGGCCATATTTTAATATTCTTGTGGTTTATGGCTACACAGGATACTTTGTTAAGCATAGGAACTACATTTAAAGTGTCCCCAACAACCGTAATGAGTATAACTAATAAGGTGCTCCACATTATGGTAAAACTGAAGTCAGCCTGTATCAATTTTCTCAAAAATGAAGCTGAAGTACAATAACAATATCCAATACCCGGCAAAATTCTAACTTGTCACATTTCAAATAATAACCAGAAATATAAAACTACTCTTGAGTTGGGTAAATACCACAATTTTGCGGTGATAACTATGACATATAACAGCTGATTCGTGACGTCACGGATCTTATAACCAAACTGATAACTACAATTGCTTGAACGGATTGGTAAATACCAAGCCAAAATGGTAAATACCATTTCCATTTGGTTATCCGCTTGAATTTGATAATAATCAAATTCAAGCGGACAGTTTTAGATGAAAAAGCACCTATTATTAAGTGATAATAAAAATAATCTGAGATTATATACGCGCTTTTCTAAAATAAACAACTTGCAACAAAACCGCGGTTACAACCAACGCGTTCAAGCGATTCGTGTAACTGACGTCATCAACTCGTGTGTCATCTTGAACCATATTATAACCGCGGCACATAACACAGAAATTTTGGTTTGATTCATGTGAAATGTCATTTTCAGCACAAAACATCTACTATTTTCAGGCAGGGCAGACAACTGCATCATAACATGACAAAATCACTAGCTTCCTGTGGAGCTGTCAAGTTTAAGGAAAGCTTAGTTAAGGAAATATGAGGAAACCCCAGAATGTGTTGGTGCAACCCAGAAAATTTTAGGCGATCTTCAAATTTTAATGTCTCCTTTGTAATCCTATCCTTAAGAAAATATTGGTGCAATCGGCCTTAAAGCTTACGAAAAAATGAGTGAACAAATTGAGGAATTATCAAGGAAGATTAACGATATTGATAAAAAGGTTGTGAATTTACGGGAAGACCAGGAAGATATGAGTGCGAAGATAGATGAGCTGGAACAGACTTCTAAACTAAATCATCTTATGGCCGATTGCACCAATATTTTCTTAAGGATAGAATTACAAAGGAGACATTAAAATTTGAGGATCGCCTAAAATTTTCTCGGTTGCACCAACACATTCTGGGGATTCCTGATATTTCCTTAACTAAGCTTTTCTTAAACTTTGCGGCTCCACAGGAAGCTAGTGATTTTGTCATGTTATGATGCTGTTGTCTGCCCTGCCTGAAAATAGTAGATGTTTTGTGCTGAAAATGACATTTCACATGATTTCACATATCCACATTGAGGTTATGTTGTAACGTAAGGTGGTCAATAAACTGTCAACACTGATGAAATCGCCCCGTCCCATTTTTCAATGAAACGATAATGCGACCAATATACGGCAAAGAGGTCCGAGAGAGAGATGGAGCTAGTCAGGGCAAAAAGCGCGCGGACTTGAATGAATTGCATAGGAAACCGAGGATTCCTAGAGAAGATTTAAAAGTTATTCATGCAACTGGAACGAGAAAAATCCTGGAAACGTAATTATAATTAAAATCCAAGTTTATTTATTTATATATACATATGTATGAGACTTGACAATAAATTCTCCTTTACACATTTGAAGATATAAAAATTAGTACTTAACATAAGTAAGTAATAATTCAGGTAGCAAAGAGATTACATGTCTGCTTATAATTAACTTAACTGCTCTAATATGCTATATCTTACATATAAAAAAATTAGAGATCTAAGAAATATCACAATAAATACATGTTATTTTCTATATATCTTTATAATGTCCCAAATAGTATTTATGCACATTTAAATTTATTTTTATAGTACTGTAGCTGTCAACACTAAATGTAGTGGGAACACGTCCAGTTTTGTAGAGATTAAAGTGTACAAAGAAAAAACCCTTATATATAAAGGGTGACTTCGAAGTTGAGTGATTTATTTTAACAGTGAGTAGATCTGATCAAAAGAAATGTTTTTTTCCTTTAACATGTTTCTGGTAAAATTAAAGTAACAAAGCTATAGCCCTTTAGAAGTTTGAGTACCGTCCTGTCTCAATAATAATATTATGTGCTCGTGTTTGGCAACAACGGATATAATCCGCCTTATCTGTTCATCGCATCGGAAACAAAAAAGCGAAAGAATTTGAAACGATGTTTTTACTACAATGTACAATCTTATTCAGTTGTGTTCAGTCGATGTGTCAGTCGGTAACGCGTGAGTGAATAGTGGTGTTTGCTGCGTGGCTCAAACGAAATAAAAAATGGCACATGTTTACGAAAATGCTGAACTTGTGGACATGATTCTTATTTACGGGGGGGGGAGTCTTTACAAAATGCTGCCACGGCATCACGGATTTATGCGAATCGGTTTCCCAATCGAGTACAATCAACCCCTCGTGCCTTTGTTAATGTAGTACAAAGGGCTCGTGAATCAGGTGACTTAAGACCTCACAGGGGAGAGCATGCCGGTGCTCCAAGACCGCACGATCAAATACAGGTCCGCACTGAAATACTTGTCGGGAGGATACTTTATAAAACAAGGTAAACATTTTTTTTAATTTTTTTTCTTATTTTTACACACATATTTTGGTTTATCTTCCTTCTACAATCATTATCAGAAAATTAATTACTCAACTTCAAAGTCACCCTGTATATATATATACATATATATATTTTCGCCTTTTGTTGGGTAATTCGACAAAAATTTAAGCAGAGGACTCTTTATACATTTTTTATTCTCTCTAGCTTTCAGTGGACTTTGCCATCATCATCAGGAGAGTAGTATGTGAGGATGTTGCTAATTGTTGTTTACGTTCAGGATGAGGGAAACACCCAGTAACATGGTGAAAGCTGGATAAATGGTACAATGGTCAAAATTATATAAAATACACACAACTGTGACAAGAACAAGTTAAAAACAGATTAAAAATTTTTAGAACATGAAAGCATTACATCGTGAAGCCGCTTGAAGATGCTTTCATGTTCTAAAAATGTTTAATCTGTTTTTAACTTGTTCTTGTCACACAGTTGTGTGTATTTTATATAATTTTGACCATTGTACCATTTCACCGTGTTACTGGGTGTTTCCCTCATCCTGAACGTAAACAACAATTAGCAACATCCTCACATACTATTCTCCTGATGATGATGGCAAAGTCCATTGAAAGCTAGAGAGAATTAAAAAAGTATAAAGAGTCCTCCTTGCTTAAATTTTTGTCGAAGTACCCAACAAAAGGCGGAAGCTTTAATTTTTCACCTAACTGGTCTAGACGACAATGACCACGTCTCAAGTTATATATATACAACAAGTAGGAAAATAATGGGCAAAATCCGCAAAAAGGAGGAAAGTGGATTCGAGCAGAAAATAGGATAGGTAACCCGAGCGATACGTATTTCTGCTGGTTGGCTTCATCAGGCCCGAAATGAATGCTACATATGAAACTACAAAAGTAGATACACATGCCCACACATCCGGATACGGGTGTAACCTGAGGAAACGAAGTTGGAGGGGGAAAAAACGACACACGAAGTCCACAACAAGAGCCAACCTACACATTGTAGTATAAAATGGCTATACGACCTCGAATATTCAAGGAGACGTCTAACCACAACCACGCGGCCGGTTATAGCCACTTGCTGTGGTACTTCAAGCCCAAAGGATCTACAAAGAGAATATGATCATGCGGAGAAAAGTATATAACAACAAGTAGGAAAATAATGGGCTCGAATCCACTTTCCTCCTTTTTGCGGATTTTGCCCATTATTTTCCTACTTGTTGTTATATACCTTTCTCCGCATGATCATATTCTCTTTATATATATACAAAATATTTGTGCACAATGGCATTAACAATACTGTAGATGCACAGTTTTTCATTATAATACAATATAGGTTATACCATAGTTCATTCTAGAAATTATGTATTCATGTTTTCTTTTCAAAACCCTTCGATGGCCAGGTTCTTTCTTAAGATGGGCTGGAAAATCAAACACAGATGGAACTGCCACCTTTTTTAGTACCTTAGTTCCATGAACACTAACTTCATAATCCTCTGAACTAATATGACAACGGCACGTTATCCTTTTCCACCATTTACGACTCTTCTGTAGTGTTTTGTTAAGATTTTTTCATGTTCCGATAATGCATTCTCGAAGTCTTGAAAATCTGTTTTTCTTTCGGAACAATAGTCATTCACTTTAAGATACTGAACATCACCAATTCTGCGTCTATTGAAAAGGATTAACAGAGCCAGAGCACATTGAGCCAATAACTTGTATGTCTCATTGGAGTCTATTTTATCAAGAAACTTTTTCTCACAGTCTTTCGCATATTTCAGTGTTTCTTCCCTAAAGACTTTTACGTCTTTAATCAGTGGTATTAAAAGTGGTTTTTGCCAACGTTTTTCATTCAGGTCTTTATTGGCCACTGAAGAAATTTCAGTGTTCCATCTGTCTTCAACTAATTTTTTAAAATATTTGACTTTCCGACGCCATTCTATTGAGTCATTTACTGATTTGCATTGAAATCCCTTACTGCCTTTCAAAATTAAATGAATTAATTCATCAGATATAATCTTTAGAGCAGTACCTAGATGCATTGCAAGGCTGGGAGCTTCATAACTTTTTCTGATCGGATCAAAGCCTGTAAGTTCTCTCGTAGCAGAAAGAACTTGATCAAAGTTTTCTGGATCGAGAAGATCTTTGAATGCGACGTTATTGTCATTTACACGAGCTCTATATATAATCAATAATCGAGCAAGTTCTCTTATCTTATTACTACATCTATACTCCTTCCGTTCCCGTTTTTGAGATTTCAAATAAGATTCTCCATAATGTGCTATCAGTAGGTCTTTTTTCGCAACAAATGAAATCTCATCGCCCCTCATCATATTAAAAACCTGAAAACAGATAATAATAGATAATTTGAATATGTAATGGCAATTGACTAGTAAAAAAAGTCTAGTTAGCTCTAAAAAATTGAATACCATACATTAATAATTAAGAGAGAGCAATCCTAGTTATAATTTAGATTTTTTGTTTATTGTTAGCTGGCAAATTTGGTTCTATTACAAGAAGGCATATAAAATATCAATACCTGTTCTTTCAAGTTCAGCTTGGAAATTACATCAGTCGAATCTAGAGTACATGCAACCGTTGTTTGTGAAAGAGCTACATGATTAACTTTGAATTTTGTTTTCTCAGCTGATCTAATTTTTGCGGAACAGGTTTTAGCATGACGAATTAAGAAACTTCTCGCATATACAGCTTTACAGTAGACACAAGGATAATAAGTAATATTTGTGCCTTCAGAAAGTTGTTTCTTCGGACGAATGATTCCTTTCAGGTAAAGCTCAAAATTCTGTTCATTTCTTAACACACTTAGTGCCTGCTTTCTGTCTTTGCATTTTGCTGGAAACTCCAATGCTTTTTTTACATCTGTTTCGTGCTTATGATGTCTTATCAAATGCCTCACAAAATTTCTTGAGGTAACATCTTCGTCACAAAATTTGCAACTGACCTTTTTGTTTCTATAGTTTTCACTTTTCTGAAAATTAATAAGGATCAATTCAAGTTGAGACTATATTTTTACATATTATAATAAAAGACAAGCAACATTTAGATTGACAAAATCACTTTATTTTGATCCCAACTATCCACCTAACTATTATCTATGTATTGTTATTAAAGACACTGAACAATATTGCCGACACTGTATAAATAAATATACTTGGAAAATCAAAAATGGTTTACCTGTTCTTTTAATTTCTCGGCAACTGTTGTAACTAAGTTTTTTTGTGTAATATCTATGTTATTTAATTGTCTTACTTCTTCTTGTAGCTCATTTTCCTCAGAGCTTTCATAACTATCAGTATCGATTGATTGCACAATATCATCAATGTCAAAATCTTCATCATTGCTGTCTTTGCTGTTTCTAGTACATTGACTGTTTTCACTTTCGGACCAATTATTAGTGTTAAAATCCTTATCCCTACTGTAATCACTGCTGAAATTTTCATTCCCGCCATCATCAACGCAGTTAATATCTGATGTTTCTAAGTTCAGAACGTTGTTGAGATTACCAAATTCATCGTTATCATCTGATTTTATTGAAGCAAAATGCCTTTTTGGTTTATTTTGCTTTAAGTCTTCGTTATCATTCAATGAAGCCTTCGAGTGGGTGTATTTTCCACCACAATTATCTAATTGCTCTGGTAAAGGACATTTTTCTTTATATCTGTTAGATTCAGTGACATAAAAGCTGTCAGTAGCACAACAAATAATTGGTTGTATTTCTATTTCATTAGATATTTCAGAGATTTGGCCATAAATTCCCAAATTCTTGGTTTGATCTATTTTATCGTTAGTTTTTGATGTTCCATTTGACCTTACAGTTTGTTCTAAATTAGAAAGAGGGTACCATATTCCTCCATCCAAATCTATATCAAAATCGGGTTCAGGGTGGGACTAAAAGAAACAAAATTATTTTTTTCGGTTCTCTCAAACACACGCAAAACATTTTCACAAGAAAGTATGTACTTTCTTTTTTTATGGTCATTTTTTTCTAAACTCCTTGACAAAAGGATACCTAATTCAAGAATTCAGTTACCTTGCACAAAAAGTTGTTTTCGCAGCGCAACGCAACTCAACAAAACTTATTAAAACAGTTAGAGTTATTTGCAATTGTTCTATAAAGCAAGATAATGTGGGCTATAAAAAACTTTAGTGAAGTCACACAAATATTTGGAAAATAAATGATTAGGTAAAGCCTCATTTTTTATATTTTTTTAAGTTACCTCTAAACACAAAAGAAAATCTCCAAATTCTTATGAGTGCATAAACAAAACCTGAACTCACACTTGGTATCTAATCGTTCCCATTTTGGATTATTTTTCATGATAATATGATCAACTAATTTCATATGATACATATGTTTACTTATTACCTCTGGTGCGAAGGCGATGGTTTCCGAAGACGCTGAATCAGAGACAAAACTACAGTTACTGCAGCAATCTAAATCCAGGCAACATGCTTTTTTCTTCTGGTTACTTGTGGCTATAGAATTATGCTGTCCATCTAATTCTATTAAAGATTTTCCATTTTTGTTGATGCATTCCAAGTCGGTTTGATTTATCTGTTTATGTTCCCGATCTTGTTCTAACATAATTTTATCTATTGGTCCACAAAGAATACAACATATTAATAAAAATATTGCAAATAGTAAACATTTCTACATTAAACATTGTACATCGCTCTTATTTCATAGAATATGAAAAAGTACAAATATTAATTTGATAATTTCCTGGCTAATCTGAGTACCTACTTATCTTATAGGCTTGTACTATTTATAGTTAGTAAAATTTTCCGATACAATTTTTTGTATGCTGATTTACATATATCATGTTCATTTATAAATTAATGCATACCTATTTCACGTACTTATTTATCGGGAATTATGAACTTACCTTTCTGTTTAGCCATCTTCAACATTAATAAACTCCTAGCACTCATTATAAATTCTAAATTCAAAAACGAAACAGATTAAAAGGGCCCTATTTCACCGGGACACCATGGCGGCGCAACCGGTCGTCGCTACCAACAAAACATATAGAGCTCTATGGAGAGTATCTCACCTGGTGTCCGCTTGGTTGCGCAACCAGTTTGGCGGAGCGACCAACACTACGTGTGCTCGAAAGATTACTGGCAGCTCCGCCAAGCTGGTCGCACCACCACTACTTCGTATTGGGCTCTATGGTGTTTCACTCACTCGGCCGCCAGTCGCGCTGCTAACGACGCGATAATTCTGAATATGTCAACTCATTTGCTTTTTACTTTGCAAACGTGCATGGTGGATAATTTCGATACTGAAAAATTTATTATTGATATTCAAAATAGACCATCAATTTGGGATAGTTCCTCAGCAGATTACTCTAATAGAGATTTGAAGAAGAAATGTGACATGACAAAAACTGCGTGGAGTATTTTAAACGCAGAAACTAATATAAAAATTAAGCGTTCCATTGAGCTAAAACTTAATGGTGTAATAATAAAAGATCCCCAAAAAACGGCTGATGCCTTTCAGGAAAGGTTTGATATCTCTCCGCAATCCCATGGCAGTCTTGATATTTCGGAAGCTAGTGCGATTCCCACTTTATTTTTGCTTCCTGTTGACAATAGAGAAATTAAACTAACTTTGGCGAGTTTGCCAAACAAATTTTCAGCTGGTTTGGATGAAATCCCGGTGGTAGTTCTAAAGCAGATATCTGACTATATATGCGAACCGTTAGCTTATATTATTAATGAATGTCTGTTTTCAGGAATTTTTCCGTCACATTTAAAGAGGGCCAAACTGGTACCCATTTACAAAAAAGGAGATGTGCATGACATAGCTAATTATCGACTAGTCTCACTGTTATCTTCTGTGTCAAAGGTCTTCGAAAAAGTCATATATTCAAGGATAATGAACTTTATCAAGAAATACAACATTTTAACAAGAAATCAATTTGGCTTTCGCCCAAATCATTCCACACAACTAGCACTATTTAAAGTTCTTACTTATATTGTTGAAAATGTGGATAAGAATGAAAAAGTGGCCGGTCTGTATTTTGATCTGTCTAAGGCCTTCGACACCATAGACCATCAAATACTCCTTAAAATTCTGTCTAAACATGGAATACGAGGTAAATGTGCACAGCTTATAGAGTCATACCTTGACAGTAAGGAGCAGCTTGTCTGTATAACCCAAAATGGTGTTAGGCATTTTTCATCAGTTACCTTGATTAAACAGGGTGTGCCGCAGGGATCAATTCTGGGACCGTTGTTGTTCCTGCTCTATGTGAATGGTCTTCGTGACAGATTTATGGAAGGTCTGATTTGCCAGTATGCGGACGATACTACTGTTGTGCTGACTGCGTCGGACTTGTCTGGCTTGTCCGGGGTCTGTTCTTGTGCAGTGGGGACCATGCAGGATTGGTGCAAGGATTATGCATTAAGATTGAATGCTGATAAAACTGGACTTCTCACGTTCAGTAAATCATCTGCCAGGGATGAGTCGCTGTTGGTTCGTTGCAATAGCGGACCAATACCAGAGATGACCGATATAAAGTTTCTGGGCATTTACCTGGATTCGAGTCTGAATTGGGATTGTCAAACATTTGTTTTGGTTGGTAAGCTCCACAGCTTCTGTGCGTTGGTGCGGCGGCTGCGAAATGAGGTTTCCTTGACCACTTTACGGCAATTTTATTATTCATCTGTACAGTCATTGTTAACTTATAGTATAATGTTCTGGGGCTCTTCGCGGGGTGCCATGTCAGTTTTTATAGCACAAAAGCGCATCCTGAGGTGCATTTTGAGACTTCATCCTCGAACATCATGTCGGGAACATTTTTCAAGATTGGGATTCTTGACGGTTCCATCACTATATTTTTTGGCACTTGTTTTATTTGTTAAAAAGCATATGTATCTTTTTAATAGTAACGCACATTATTATGCTAAAAGTATGACCGTTGTGACCAGAGGCAGAGAAAATCTGAGTGTGCCTGCACATTCGTCCGCATTTTTCAAGAGGGCTCCATTATACATGGCTGTCAAAACTTTCAATATGCTTCCAATAGATATAAAATCCGAGAGCAAGCCTATTAGGTTTAAAAGAGCGGTGAAAAAGTTTTTGCTGGACAGATGTTTGTACAGCTTTGATTTTAACATTTGAGCTCCATTATTTTATTTTAATAACATTTTAAGCCAAGTTGTGACATACTGGACTTTTATTTGTCATTTTAATAGTTTTTAATATTGTAAACATACATATAATATCCCGTTGATATTGTACTACATTTTTTTTTTTGACGTTGCTTATGTTTTTTCTTTAAAATTTTGCTGACAATAAAGAATATTATTATTATTATTATTATGTTGGGAAGAAATTGTAGATTTATATGGAGGAGAGGGGCAAACAGTTGAACAAAAAAAAGACTTAGGTAAGTAAGGAATATTATATTTTTATTAATTAATACAATTATTTTGCCATGAAAGTGGGTTTTCATTTACAAAATAATTCATGAAGTTATCTCGAGTTGTGGTAGCAGCACGTCCTCCTCTAGTAAAATTTCGCTGTGTTATAGTTTCAAAACCGGTTACTGTCAGAGTATCATCATATGAATACCCATCTCTAGCACGCACAAAATTATGCAAGACACAACATGTTCTCACAATTGATTTTGCTAATTCGGTGTGGACATTCAATGGTCTGTGGAAAATTCTCCATTTGTTCGTGAAAATTCCAAAAGTGCACTCGATGTAACGGCGCGCTCTCGACAGTCTGTAGTTGAAAATTTTTTTGTCGACGCTGAGGTTGTTTCCTCCAAATTGGCGCATGACATTTGTGCTCAACCCGAATGCTTCGTCGCCTACAAATACGTAAGGAAAAAGCGTTGTGCTATTTTCCGAAATTTGAAGGGGCTCTGGAATATTTAAAGTATTCCTCATGAGCTTCTTATAAAAGTCAGTTTGTTGGAATATTGCTGAATCACTACTTTTCCCATAGGCACCTACGTCTATGTACATAAAATTATAATTAGCGTCACATATAGCAAGCAGCACTATTGAAAAAAAGTGTTTGTAGTTATAATATAATGAACCAGAATCAGCAGGTTGAATCAGTCTAATGTGCTTCCCATCGATACTACCCAGGCAGTGTGGAAAGTTTGCATGCTTTTCGAAACCATCTGCTGTTTTGATCCAGTCACTTGCAGAGGCTGGAAGTGATAAACATGTTTGCAACTTATTCCAAATCACGGCACACACTGCTCTAATTATTGTGCTTAAAGTTGTTTATCCTAGACGATAATTGTAATGCAATTCCCTCATTGTACATCCACTAGCGAAGTACCTGTAATTCAGAGAAATATATGTTTTATTTACATATATAAATATATGTTTTTTTATTAATAAATAATTGATTGGTACTAAAATAAATCCCAAGAAAAAACACACCATAAGTTAAATTCAGAGAAATACTAACTACTAATCATTTCTTTTCAGGTTTGGTGTTGCAAAAAAGGTGGAAAAGTATAAGATCATGCTATGCTCGGGAAGTCAAAAGACAAAAAAATTTAAAGTCTGGTTCTTGAGCCACTAACCGCAAAAGCGAATACATATACTTTAAGCAGTTGTAGTTTCTACAAAAAGTAGTAGCTATCAGAGAAAAAGAAGATGACGAAGAAGAAAATTTGGAGAGCACTGAAGTACGTGAGCGTCCTAAAGAAAAAGCTACCATCAAACGTAAACGGCAATTGGCTGAAGATGATGATCCCTTTGTACGAGCTCTAAATAATTCTATTGAGCAGAGCCAACGTGAGACATCAGAGCAGATACTACGTAAAACAGCAGAGACCGATGAAGATCGATTATTTCTGCTGTCATTGTTAAGCACACTAAAAAATCTGCCTGTTCAAGTTAAAATGGCTACCAAGATAAAGATGCTAACTTTGTTGAACGATGCGTCAGATTATTCTGGTTACAGGACGTTTGATTATGCTGATCGTTCATTTCGGCATACTTAACCCTTTCAAGCCCAATTTTTTTTTACCAAAAAAAAAAAAATTTTTTTGTCTTTTTCTGTGTAATTATGGTCTAAAAATTACGGTAAAAATGTTTTTTTCTGAAAACAATTTTTTTTTATGAGAAAAAATGATGACTCCATTTGGAATCAGTGGGCGTAAGATAAGAAAAATGTAAATTGATAATGGTTTATTTTAGATTTAATTTTAGTTATAACAAAAGAGTAGTAAGAGTAGTAAACATTTAAAATTACTGATTATGGAATTTAATAAAACAATTTTTTTCCTTTGACAAACATAGAGGCATGTTGCATTTCATGCAAGAAATTCTCGTATACGATTTGATGCAATTCCTACATCTCTGCTTTGGTTCTATGTGTTCTGGCCAGTGAGAAAATCCATCAAATCTCACATCATCTATCGGTCCGGGCACAACAGGTCGTTTTCGTGGAGGCTGCTGCATCCGACGGGCGTCCTCTTCGCCGTAATGGTGCATTCTGTTGCAACATTGCATGTGCAACTTCAGCTCTGAAAGTGACCAGTCGTTTAAATTTTTTGATTCCTCTTGCTGAACAGTCTCTCCTGTACAAGAGCCATGCGTTGACGATGCAAATATCTATTAGATGGTAAATTATTCGTAAATAATAACGTCTAACACCTATTTTGATTCGGTACAAGGAGACGAGCATGTCATTTAAATCAACGCCACCCATATATTTGTTGTATATTTGGATAGCATACGGTTGAGGGAGATCAATGAACTTTTTCTCTGATGAAGACCATCTTTTGACATTTTGTATAGGCTGCAGGCCTATATAAGTTGAGACGACATGCACTGTTTTATTGTCAAACCATTTGACGGCAAATATATTTTCATTCTCCTCTGTGCAAAAATCAAACGAACCACGTCCTTCTTTTTTCAACTCCGCATCACTTTTCAGTTGACATCCAGGCAGTCTGGCCATCCTTACGGTTCCAGATGCAAATATTCCCAGCTTTTTAAGTTCACAGAATAATTTATAAGACGTGAACCAATTATCTGTAAAAACTTTATAATTTATGTTTCTGGGTGATGTCTCTACAAGTCTAATGACAATGTCACCACTGATTCCAAGATTAGTCTCTTTCACGGTCCCTTTTCCCCTGTATATTTCAAAATCATAGATAATACCGCTGATTCCAGCTCTAGCAAATATCTTTATTCCCCATTTATGCGGTTTATTCCGAATAAACTGTTTGAGGGAACTCCTTTCCTTGAACGGCACCATGATTTCGTCTACCGAATTGTATTCTTCTTGCTCAATTTTGGACATATTTAATTTTAGGGCATCTATGATAGGTCGTATTTTAAAAAGTTTGTCATAATCTGGGTGATCACGGGTCAACATATTTGTATTGTCATTGCAATGGATTTGAGTTCTTAGTTTATCAAATCTGTTTCTCGACATAGTATCAGCTATAGGTGAATAACGAGTTTCTTGTGCCCAATACATTCGATAGCTAGGCATCCTGACTATACCAGACATAATATTTATTCCAAGGAATTGAGAGATTTCTGTGAATGTGGTGTTGATACATGCCCCCGTTTGTTGTGTAGAATACAAATTTGTTTGATCAGTAATATGTTGAATTAAATTGTCATCAAAAAATAGCTTGAAATATGACAGCGGAGTTGAATCATTTTCCTTTTCGTTAGTAAATATTACTTTACATTCAGAATTTACGAAAGGAAGATCTGCTTTTTTCCACTTTGGAGCAATTTGTACAGCAGGCGTTGGGTGCTAGTTCCGAAACGTAATAATAGGTAAATCGTCTTCAGGGTCAAAGTCTTGTTGCATTTGTCTGTTAGGTTCATGTCCATTTTCATCAGATAGTTTATCTGTGTCCACTTCTAAGTTAGAATTAGATAACACTAGTTCTTCTGGAGAAGGTTCTGGAGGATAAGGATCATATTCCTCTTGTAATCGAAGGAACGTTTCTTGATCGAAATCATCTTCATCGTTGTCGGTTACACAATCCAAATCCGACTCGTCCCCTTGTAGCAACATCAGCAAGTGTTTTTCTTCCTCTTCCGTAAGTCCTACGCACCGACCTACGGTCGGCATCTGAAATATTCAAAATATGAAAATAGTAGATTACAGTGGCCCACTGACGCCAATTGGAATCATTATTAAAGTGGCGTTAGGCCCACTGATTCCATTTGGCATCATAACATTCTAAGTACATAGTTTCAACAATTTTACTATGATTTCAATAAAAACCTCATTTTGTATTACTAATGACCTAATAATGCTATTTGTATTAATATTAAGCACATAAAATATAAACTTACCTTGATTTTATTCAAGAACAAACAATAATTATTACACACAATACTGTAAACTTTGAATTAACCTAAAAATCGAAATGTCAATCGATATTTCACAAACTGGTATGCGTGTCGCCATCTGTGATCTATTGGCTATAATATATTGCCTGGGATTTCTATTTCTATTTATTTTAAGTTTTCTGTCGTGGCTTTAGGCAATATATTCCAATTGGAGTCGCTGGGCTGGAAAGGGTTAACAAGCTAATTCAGGTGGTAGACTGGTTAGTCAAGGCAACTATCATCCTGGTTCTTCGACGTAACCGCGCACCACGAATTATCCGACTGAAACTATTACAAATAGTCCTGGATATAATTCTATGAATACAATAATGTATACAAGTTCTCCAAGCGATACACCTGATTCACTGGACTCGGAACCATATATGGAACTGTTTAACACTCAAAATTGTAGTAACTAACTCCAAAAAAATGTTCGTGAATTGTTTGTTCAGTTACATTCTTTAATAAAACTTACCTACTAAAAAAGTTCATTATTTGTTTTAACTTACCTTAATGTTACAAATAACTTTTCTTCGGGACTGACAGACTTTCTTAATATTGTATCTTGTTTCAATAAATCATATCTGCACAGAGTCAATAACTCGTCAAAGGACCTCATGGACATTCTGACAGTTAAAAAACTTATCTGGATATCTTCTCAGATCTTCGTAAATGTTGATAAATTGTCCTTTCTTAGGACGATCGGCTAAGTAAGGATGAATCCACCACTGTTTTCTTTTACTTTTTAACTTTCTTTTCCTTCGTATATACAGCAACAGTGCTAAGTCTTCGACGTTCATTTTGATACTGTGGCCGTAGTCGGTGTCTCGGGTTTGGTAGCTTCAAGACACCACGGTTGTGCGACTGGTTGCGCCGCCATGGTGTCCCGGTGAAATAGGGCCCTAACCCACCCCACAACGTGATACAAAATCCAGAACTAAACATAACCACAAAATACGAATTACCGCTCTTTTCCTTTACGCTGTTGCCAAGAGTGAATCCCGAAATAACGGAAAAAGGAGGGAACAGAGTAATAGATTTAATCCTATATAAACCGGAGGGAACTATGTGTGGCAAGTTTTTGTAATATAAACGACCCCAGCGCCGGTGGTGAACTGCCGAAGCCATCGAGTCAAAACGTGTGCATATATGGTTCAGACGACCTCCACCTGTTTTTTTGTGTAGTGATAGGAAACGACTCCTAGAGGCTAATGGCAAAAGGAATTAAGCGATCCGTAGTACCCTCCGAAATTGGAGGGAAGTAGGTTATATATGAGGGAACTGCGATTGGTATATACACTTTTTGGAGGGAATAAAGAACACATTATACGTATATGAATAGGTAAAGGGCTGAACTTGTATCATTTTTAAATGCCTTCAGCTCTTTTTTGTAACATATCTTATTTAAATGTATCTTGCTACTATTTTCACCTAACTGTATGTTGCAAATAAACCTTATTATTATTGTTATTATTATTATTTATAAAGCTAGCGGGTGGTACTGCCTCGGTCGATTGGTCTTTGTCTACCCCCTTCTTTTTGCGTGTTAATGATATTAAATACACCTAAAGTGGGCGGACTTGTACCGCTACCCGGCAATCGGTACTGAGGTATTCCTTCGCGTGTACAATCACTTG